CGAAAATGACTCTAGCAGCGAAGTTCAAATTTTTTTGGAGACGATCGAAATTTTTTTGGGACCCATTGCCATAAACTGAGAGGCAGTATTGGATGCGTGAGATAACGAGTGCTGTCACGAGCGTTCTAATGATGCCATCCGGGAGACTGTGGCGCGCATGGGAGAGACCGATCAACAGTCCCGTACACCGGCGGCTGAGTTCGGAGACGTGAGCGTCCCAGGATAGAGTACTGTCAAAAGTGACGCCCAGGTTCCCCACCTGCGCGCACGGCTGCAACGCTGCGTCACGGAACGATACCCTGAAATCTGGCAATTTGCGTAAATTTTGACGACTGCCGAAGACAATGAGCTGTGTTTTACTGGCGTTGACCTTCAGGGCGTTAGCGCAGAACCATTCGTTGAGTGACGCGAGCGAAACCTCCATGCGCGAGATGAGAACTCCGAGGTCCCTGGCAGGACCGCTAACCAATACTTGGGTGTCGTCGGCATATTGAAAGACTACTGCATCACCCGCGTACAGCGATAAGTTGTTAGAGAAGATGGTGAAAAGTAACGGCCCTAACGCAGAGCCCTGGAAGACACCCATGGTATTAGGAAGAGGCCGAGACAGCACTCTACTTCCGGACCCATTTTTCAACGACACGCTCTGGGTGTGTCCATGAAGATAGGCGGCGAACCAGGAAATATCGATACCGTGCAGCATAAGTTTTTGCATCAGAAGCTCGTGGTCTATCACGTCAAAACATTTACTAAGATCGAGAAGGCATAGCATTGAGATCTCACCCCTGTCGGTGGCGGCCAGGATGCGTTCAGTGACGGACAACAACGCGGTTTCAGTAGAGTGCCGGGGGCGGAAGCCGTGCTGTGAGGATGCCAGAAGGTGATTATGAGAGAGATAGATGTAGAGCTGCTGATGGACAATGCGCTCAACCACTTTCATGACTACAGGAACCAGGAAAATGGGCCGGAAGTTTGCGGGGTCTGAAGGATTGCCGGATTTGAACAGAGGGTGAACCATGGAATGTTTCCATGAATCGGGGATATCGGATTGAATTAAGCAGGTATTGATAATATGCAGGATGACACCACCAATAGCTCGGAATCCGGCTTTCAGCATGCGAACGCAGACACTGTCGGTACCGCAAGCACCCGAGCTACGCATGCTGAAAATCGTCCGCTCAAGCTCGGCAAGTGTGATTTCTCGAAGTTGAAAACTGCATGCGCCAACACGGGTAAGACGTACATTCAAATCGGTAGGTGCGTTTTGGGCTCGGATCTCGGCAGCGACACGAGGACCGACGGATACAAAGAAAGAATTTAAGTCATTGGCAGATAGGTCAGGCTGAACATCAGAACCATCCTTCTTACCGGCAACCACCGACCTGATACATTGCCAAACTTTGTTGGGGCCCCGTTCCCCGATTTCCCTCTCTTTTGATTGTTTACTTTTTGTTGGTTGCTTAACCCGTTCTTGAGTTATAGGCCATCAAACTCACCGTTACATACCGAAGTTAAAAAAATGTAATGCAATATAACTCAAAAAGTTTTGATCTGAGAAGTCTGATATTTTGCCAGGCGTCTTTGGGGCCTATGATCACCCCTAGGACCGATTTTCATTAAAATCTGAGAGATGAGGGTGACGGGCCTGGTACTATTGCTTCCAAATTAAGCTTGATTCGCGCCTGGCTCTAGTACTGCATTGAATACCCTCCCGAACCCCTCCCGCATCGCCAGGGTAGCTGTCCCGGTGAGGTGCGTGTCAGACTGAAGCAGTGCGTGGACCTTGTGCCTGAGGCAGGGACACCGGTGTGACCTGTGATAATGGCGGGCACGTGAGCGTGACGCATAGCTGTGTCACATTCTATCCAATCAGGGATGATGAGAGCGCCACAGTGCAGTGGTCAGGACGATGATCGGGTGGGGGAGCGCTGGATGGGCGTGTTACGGGTGAGAAAATATTTGGCACACTTGGCAACTTGAGTGCTACACGGACTTATACGCTAAACCTTTTCACATTTTCTGAAGCAGGGAATCAATTTATGTCCTAGACGTCGCTGGCCGAGGAGAGTGCCTTCTCAGACATTATTTTTTCCAATTGCACGAAGCAAGCAAACAATCGTGTTTTTTTTAGATTTTCGAGCTTTTTCGAATGCCGCTTACCACGTGTCGCATACGTGGGCGTGGCCTGCAGGAGCCGAGTTAGTGGGGGGGGGGGAGGGAGGTGGTTGGCGCCGAGCACCTGCTTGGCGCGGGTTAATAATTATCTGAAGATATTTATAATATATGTTCAGATTATATTGACATTATTGTTTTAAATCATAGGTAGGGGAGAGTGGGGTAAGATACCCAGGGTGGGAAAGACGCCCCACCCCCTCTAGCGGCGAAACAAAGAATCGAATATGAAAATTAATGTTCTTAGCGTAAAGCGGAAGCCTGCCTTGTTAACTGCACAAAACTTTGCGAAGCTCAGTTGGGCAACGGATGGCTGGTGATTGCATGTTTTTTATTTGTTGCTTTCAAAAAATATTTTGGTGTCAAAACATTGTAAATATCAAAGAAGATAGATAATTTTTGCGTCCCTTGCTATAGTCGTGATACATTAATCCTCGCCCTGGCAGGGGGGTCGATGCGACCCCCCCCTAAGGTTTTTCAAAGATAGCGTAAAAACGGCGGCGCTTTGGCACAGCCTATGGGGCAACCTTTTTACATATGACCTGAAAATTTCAGGTCCGGGTAACCTTGGGTCAGGTTACCAGGTCAGAAAAACCGGTACAAGGTCATGGTCAAATTTCAATTTTCTTTTTGCACCTGTCCAACTCACAGTTTTTCACTGATTTCCTTCAAACTTTCAGGATGTGCTAAGTTCACCGAGTTGTATAACATATAGTTCGTTTTTTTTTTAGGTCACTGACCTGAGGTCAGTTAGAGGTCATTACGTCGTAACGACGATATCGTCGCAGAAGTAAAGGGGGGGCAACTATATGCCCCCCCCCCCCCAGAGGCCGGCGGGTGGCGCGGAGGCCCAGCGGCCGCCGGGTTAATGTCCCTAGCGTAAAGCGGAAGCCTTCCTTGTTAAAGGGACACTCCCACCTTAACATTAGTTTTGAGTTGAGATAGCCAAATTGGTGGCCATGGCCTGCAAATACCGGTTTGGGCACTCACAACATCGAAAAATGCTTTAATTCGAAGATATGGAATTTCAAACTTGCAGTTTTCGGATTCTAAGGGGCTAATGCATTGGAATGCCCCCTTAGAATTTGTGACGTCAGCGGAGATCTAACAATTTTTAAATCTTAGACTAAAACCATCGTTAACACGTGGTGGTATACGCTGCTTTGCGCGCAACGTCTGCCGCACTTTAAGGCTGCCAAATTATTGCTTCCAAATAAAGTCGCTAGTAACAGGGGAGATCCCAAAAAGTAAACAAAAGTAAAAGCCTAATATCTTGAAAACCAGTGAATATTTTTCGGTGAAATTTGGTAGATATTCGTTTTCGCTCTTTCTGAAGCAAGGGACATCACTTTCATGCCAATTCATTAACTTTTTTGAAGGTGGGAGGGTCCCTTTAACTGCACACAAAATTGCGAAGCTCAGTTGGGCAACGGCTGGCTGATGATTGCATGTTTTTTATTTGCTGCTTTCAAAAAATATTTTGGTGTCAAAACATTGTAAATATCAAAGAAGGTAAATGATTTTTGCGTCCCTTGCTATAGTCGTGATACATTAGCATGCGTGTACTGTTTCCCTAACAGTTTGTTTCAGGGTGTAGTTTTATGGCTAACAAATTGTACTGATTTAATGTTACTCATTACCTTGGGGTAAGATGCCCCCTGTCCTGATGGGGAAAGACGCCCCCTAAATCCGTAGGCTGTCCTTCAAACAGCCCGTCAAATCATTTATTACATACTTTTGATGTAGACAAAAGCCGATCTGGGACTATTGAGAGTCCAGTACGGTCGAGTGCTCCCCATGCCGGTCTCTCGGCCCACATAGCGACTTTTTGGGCGGCATCTGACTCTGAGAGCCCTCACGACGGCCTCTGTGGGCCCCATTATTGGCTCCAGGGCCCCTCTCGACATCCTTTGAGGGCTCCCACGTTGGCCCCACGGGCCGCGCTGGCATCGGAGGTCCCCACGATGGGCTCGAGGGCCCTCAAGCATCATGAAGACCTATAAGAGCCCCGCAGTGGTCTCCTGCGGGGACGCTTCGAAAAGCTCCTGCAACCGGACGCTTCGAAACAGTCTAGCCTCCTCCACGTTTCCGCCTCAGTCATCCTGTTACTGCTGTATCTGCAGTCTGCAGCCATGCCATTCCACTTCTATTCTCCACTTAATCTCCATGATATGCACCGCACAATGCGATAAACACCACTGATTCTTCATGATCTGAGCACTGCCAATGCGCTCCACGCCTCAGCCGACCAGACTGAGAAAAATGGCGGCGAACGCGGACGCGCATACGTCCTTTTGCGCATGCGCGAAAGGAAACCCCCGTAAGCTACTTTGAGAACACCTCCACGGATATTTTACACCTTTAAGAAGTAACGGGCGTCTTTTAAAAGCATTTACAAGGTAATTGTAGGCCTCAAGGTGTAAACGTACCGCTTTGATGTCGTTTTAATACCTTCTTTGGTGTACATAAACTGATCCCATCTTTTCATAGTCTAGATATACTTTTTGTACCTCAACGGTGTTTGATAAACTAACCGCCTTCATTTCTACTTCGATAAAAAAAGAAGGGATGTGTTATGGAAGTGTACGATCATTCTTTTGAAAATACCACTGACTTTAAATAGTGCATTCGGCGTAATTGCAGTCTCTGTACAATATTCATGAAATACTTTGGTGTAAAATAAACCAGCTCGGTGTTAATATTCTTATGTGTGTACAGTGGTGCGGCAAGCGAGGATCAAGCTTAATTTGGAAACAATAGTGCACTGGTGCTGCGGCCTGCGCCAGGACGTTGTGCCGCTGTTATATTGACGTGTTTGGGTGCGCCAGGACGGCATGCTGTTGCTCCGGCCGTACCAGAGCAGTATCGTGGCCTGGTCGATGCTGGTCTCGCCCGAGCTGACGTTCCTGGCGGACGCCTCGATCCAGCTGGACTACTGGCTCTGGTTCAACATCTCGCAGCCTCACACTCCCGTCAGCTTCATGTTGTTCAGGTCAGTTTTGTTTTTGTTTTTGACAAAAAGTTTTTGATTTTTTTGACAAAAGCAAATCGATTTTCGTAGCAACAAATTTATTCATTCAAAGTTTTCAAAATTTGTAATCCCGAGAGCTGTGCGGCTGATGGAATACCAAAATTTACCGCTCATGAGCGACTGGTCAGAGGTGGCGGCGGTTGTTTCACATTTTTTATCTTTTGTTCCAGAGTGGTGCTTCGAGTTAACCCGCGCCCCGTAGGGGGGAGCGAAACGCCCCCCCCCCCCTTTCCTTTTCCGTGGATATCTCCTAAACGGCTTCAGATATCGCCACTAAACTTTCATGAACCCCCCGGGGATCAATTTTACACATTGTGACAAAAAATTCCAGAGACTTTGATAGGTCGGCCGTAAATGACGTCAGAATGACGTCATGTTCTGCGATTTCCAACCGAAAAAAAACTTCGCGAAAAGAGCTGTCAGGCCTACAGAGTACAGCTTTTAAGATACAGAAACATGACCTTCACATAAAAGGTGTAGAATTGATAGGGCTACAAAACTGCCATCTCGGATTTTTAAATTTTTTGAATTTTGACCCACAAAAATCAAAAAGTAATTTTTTGCATATTTTAGCCAAAAAATCCAAAAAGTTTGTTGATTTTCGAACAAACGGAATATATATGATAGTACCTACTGTCTTCTATCTACATACCAAATTTTAGATCAGTATCTCTTTTTGGCCAAGTTATAGCGAAAAACCTGTTCAACACTGATATGTCAAATTTTCAAACTCATTTCTTGGCAATTCTAGACCACGTAGGGCAATTCTAGACCACGCACCATTAGACTCCCTGTGACGAGCTGCATCGAATCGATACCCATTTTATGCAGAAATATCAACGTCAAAATTTGACCTAATTTGACCTGACCTTGACCTGACCTTCACTAGAACGTAACCTAAGCTGGCCCCAAGAGCTGCCTGACCCACATAATCGAATTCGTCATGTAAAATGGACCATAAAACATGTATCACGCGACACTTTCATATTGTGACCCTCAGCGACTTGACCTCTGTGACCTGACCTGGTAGTAGTGACCTCAGATAGCAAAGTATGTGTTTGACGAATAATTTACCATCGATGATTTTCAATAACTTACCAGTTTACTCAATTTCACAACGCGTTTCTTGAAATGCCTGTGAACGGTGAAAATCTGACCTTTGACCTGACCTGTGACGTCATCGGTTTGACCTAAGTCAATAAAATCTAGTCACAACTCACAAGGTAGTTACTTGGTAAGGCTATCGAACCCCGTTTGAATTTTCGAAATCGGCCGGTAAATTTCCGAGATCTTAGGGGTGGGGGCGAAACGCCCCTCTCCCCCTACGAGTGGTAGGGTCCGCCGATAGCTCTACGGGGCGCGGGTTAAAGGGACCCTCCCACCTTCAAAAAAGTTAATGAGTTGGCATGAAAGTGATGTCGCTCGGTTCAGAAAGAGCAAAAACGAATATCTACCAAATTTCACCGAAAAATATTCACCGGTTTTCAAGATCTTAGACTCTTACTTTTGTTTACTTTTTTACTTTTTTTTGTTTTCTTTTATTTTTTTACTTTTTCTGTTTATCTCGAAATTTTGATATCGGTGACCTAAGGTCAGGTCAATTTCTCGACCTCCCCATTATAAGTCAATGGGGGAAAATCAACTCCCTGTTTTTACCACTAAAACGGGTCGGAATGGCCCCATATACCATACATGACTTCATATACGATCACCCTTCACTACCTTGAGGTCTGTTTTGCTGTTGGACAGCTGTAAGGCCATGTGACGTCATCAAAGGTCACCAAAGGTTTTTTTGCCAATAACTCCGTACAGGAACAAGATACAGCCGCGCAGATGGTCTCATTGTGTTCAGCTCGTCAAGACGCATCGAATGATATGCATGATGACCTCAAGGTCACGTGACCTGAGGTCAACCTTTGACCTTGACCTTTCGAGGTCAACATATATATCATTCGATGCGGATTGACGAGAGGATCACGATGATGCCCTTAATGTGTTCCTATCCGGACTAATTCGAAAGTTATTCGAGAAAAACTCTCTCCATATCTAGAGTTTTTCTCCGCCATTTTTTTTTATTCAGTCCTCCCTCCAACGGGCACTTGTGTCCCATTTACAGGAGGGCTCCTCCTCCTCCTGGCCCTTGTTCCCCCACCCCCAGGCTACGGCTGAAGTGGGAGCCTACCCCACACCTGGTGACACAGCCGGGGACGACGCCCACGGAACGGGCGGAACCGGGAATCGAACCTGAACCCGGCACCGCCCGCACCGCGGGTCGACGCCTTAGCCGACTGCGCCACCAGGGCCGCCGACTTTTTGACTTTTTGACCCCTGTGACGTCATCTTTGACCTGACCTGAAAATGACCTGTGTAAAAATTGTAGACCTTGTCCGTGCGTATCCGATGCCGTTTACCGCTTTTCGCTATCTTGCTTCGTTCTCGAGATCTCAGGGGGGGGGGCGGTCATCCGCCCCCCCGTCGGTACTAAGTTGGCGCAGACCCCCGTCGGTGCGCGTGTTAAGGCCCTACATCGTCGGCGGCTCTGAGGACCCCACACTGGCGCCTCTGAAGGTCTTACACAAGCGCATCTGACGGCTACCTACCTGCAACTCTGTGGGCCCCACACTGGTGACTCTGAGGGCTCCCAGCGACGCCTGAGAGTACCACGCCGGTCTCCAGGATCCCACAGGGCTCCTGAAGGCCTCTACTGACCCCTTGCTGGCCTCTCGAAGTCCTTTTGCCCCCATGCCTGTGTCTCTGAGGAGTGAGCACCCCCACAACGGTGCCTTTGAAAAATGAAAGTCCACCGGTGACTGTGAGGGCTCCACACAGACACCTCTGAGGTCTCTACATCGCCATCTCTGAGACACCGGTGTCTATTTAGGCCCCACATCGACGACTGTGAGGGTCCCACACCGGCGTTTCTGCGGCCCCACACCGGTGCCTTTGGCAGACAGCCACCGGTAAGTGTAGGTCCTACACCGGTGACTCTCGAGGGCCCAACCGGCGTCTGAGAGTCCCATGCCGATCTCTAAGGACTCTACAGGGCTCCTGAAGATAGTGCCGGCCCTCACTTGCCGGCCTGTGAAGACTCGTTGTTGGCATCATATGGCCCATTACCAACCTCTGAGGGCCCTTTGCCGGTCTCTGATAGGCCTTTCTGGGTTATCAAGCATTCGCACAAACAACTCCAAGGGCCCCACACACAGTCATCTGTGAGGGGTGTGGGCTCAGCGTCACACCAGCGTCTGAAAGATCACCACAACGGCGTCCATGTGAGGGCCTCACATCAGCACCTCTGAGCGTCCACACCGGCTCCTTTGTGGTTCCTGCACCAGTGCCTCTGAGGGCCACACACCGATACCTTTGAGAGTCCCACGCCAGTACCTCTTAACCCTCGCCCTGGCAGGGGGGGGGGGGTCGATGCGACCCCCCCCTAAGGTTTTTCGAAAATAGCGTAAAAACGGCGGCGCGCAGCGCCGCCAAATTTGGCACAGCCTATGGGGCAACCTTTTTACATATGACCTGAAAATTTTATGTCCGGGTGACCTTGGGTCAGGTCACCAGGTCAGAAAAACCGGTACAAGGTCATGGTCAAATTTCAATTTTCTTTTTGCACCTGTCCAACTCACAGTTTTGGACTGATTTCCTTCAAACTTTCAGGATGTGCTAAGTTCACCGAGTTGTATAACATATAGTTCGGTTTTTTTGAGGTCACTGACCTGAGGTCAGTTAGAGGTCATTACGTCGTAATGTTAAGCCTATGGGAAAATACTAAATTCCGAAAATACTGGAGATATCTACTTCTTTCTATCACTTTTGTGCTTTGAATCCATAGTAAATAACAGCAGGTCACTTAGTGCTTCGTTGTTTGGTGTACTTATCCATGGGTCAGGTCAAATGAGGTCAACTGAGGTCAAATGACGTTCTTGCCAATAACTTGGCACATAATGACGCTAGAGCTTAAAAAATGGTATCATTGTGTTCCTGGTGATCAGCCGAATCGAATGATATGCGATATGATTCAATTTGGTTAACTTGAACTTAATTTATAATTTTAAGTTTACTTAAAATTTAAGAAAAACTTTAGGTACACTTAAGCAAGCTAAAAAGTATATCATTCGACGCGCCTTGACGTGCTGAGTTCACTGGTGCTTTTCTTTTTGCTCTATCTTAATTAGATTAAAAGTTATAAGCGAAAAACTTTTGACCCGTTTTTAGCGAAATTTTTACATTTATACCCCCCAAAACCCCCCTAAATATTGACCTAGAGCAACCAAATTTGCACAGGGGCGAGAACTCCAGGGGGCCCACCTACCTACCAAATTTGGTGTTTCTAGGTGCCATAGGAGCCAATCGCGAGGGGGGGGGGGGTCGCATCGACCCCCCCCTGCCAGGCCGTGTTATGAAAAATGCCCTGCCAGGGCGAGGGTTAAGGTCCCATACCGGCGGTCCTGGGTCGGCTCTACATATACATCAGTGATTCTGAGGGCCCCACCGGCGTATGAGGACCATACACATCAGTAGACGGCCATCCATCGGCGCAACTCCGATTAGGTCCCACACCGTGGACTCTTGAGGGCCCCGTCGGCGTCTGAGAGTATCTTGGGCTGAGTTCTTTCGGTCTACTGAGAACATTTCAGATTCGCCTAAGACGAGGAGGTCAGACATCGAACTTGTAATCGAACACCGACTGACACCCCAAAGGGACAAAGTCCATCCCTTTGAGAAGGAAGCGTTTCGGTGGGTCTTCCCCTCAATCAATCAAACACTCAACACGGAGAGGTATGATTATTCTTTCGGGTAAGCGTGATCATTGTTTTAGAGGAAACTTTGTTTCGGTCAAGTAAGAATATCGCAGAGCTATTGGATGAGAGAAGCTGTTTGTTTCCGGTGTTTGGGAGAGACCCGCGCCGGGCCGGGGGTGTTTGAACACCCACTGCGGTTTTTCGCAGATATCCGAA